TCCCTCCTTCCCCACCTCCTCCTTCTCCTGCTTGGCCTCCTTGCGCTCGGCCGCGATGTTTTTCTTGCGGTGGTAATTGAACTGTGTGTCCTCCTCGGCCTTCACCATCTCCTTCTTGCGCTTGTCGTACTCGGGGGCGAGCTCGCCCGAGCGGCTGATCTCCTCAAACAGGGCTGTGCGCTCCTTGGGGTTCTTCATGGCAATGGACTCCACTGCTCCCTGAAAAATCAGAGTCAGAAATGGTCCTAAATCCCTGAGAAATGGTCCTAAATCCCCTAATTCCTGTGAGAGATCCCTGAATCCCTGGGGATCTCCTCAGCCAGGGCCGTGCGCTCCTTGGGGTTCTTCATGGCGATGGATTCCACTGCTCCCTGAAAAAACAGGGCAAAAATTATCCTAAATCCCCTAATTCCTGTGAGAGATCCCTAAATCCTAAAAGGGAATCCCTGAATCCCTGGGGATCTCCTCAAACAGGGCCGTGCGCTCCTTGGGGTTCTTCATGGCAATGGACTCCACTGCTCCCTGAAAAAAACAGGGTCAGAAATGGTCCTAAATCCCTGAGAAATGGTCCTAAATCCCTTTAGAAATGGTCCTAAATCCCCTTGGAAATGGTCCTAAATCCCCTTATTCCTGTGAGGGATCCCTGAATTCCAAAAGGGAATCCCTGAATCCCTGGGGATCTCCTCAAACAGGGCCGTGAGATCCTTGGGGTTCTTCATGGCAATGGAATCCACTGCTCCCTGAGAAATGGGGTGAGAAATGATCCTAAATCCCTGAGAATGATCCCTAAATCCTGTCAGAGAGGTTCCTAAATCCCTGCAGGGTGAGGGGTTCCTAAATCCCTTCAGGGTCAGGGATCCCTGAATCCCTGGGGATCTCCTCAGACAGGGCCGTGCGCTCCTTGGGGTTCTTCATGGCAATGGATTCCACTGCTCCCTAAAAAACAGAGTCAGAAATGGTCCTAAATCCCCTTGGAAATGATCCTAAATCCCTGGGGATCTCCTCAAACAGGGCTGTGCGCTCCTTGGGGCTCTTCATGGCGATGGACTCCACTGCTCCCTGAAAAATGGGGTGAGAAATGATCCTAAATCCCTGAGAATGATCCCTAAATCCCCTAATTCCTGTGAGAGATCCCTAAATCCCTGATACGGATCCCTGAATCCCTGGGGATCTCCTCAAACAGGGCCCTGTGCTCCTTGGGGTTCTTCATGGCGATGGACTCCACTGCTCCCTGAAAAAATGGGGCAAAAATGGTCCTAAATCCCTGAGAAATGGTCCTAAATCCCTGCAGGGTCAGGGAAATCCTAAATCCCTGGGGATCTCCTCAAACAGGGCTGTGAGATCCTTGGGGTTCTTCATGGCGATGGACTCCACTGCTCCCTGAAAAACCAGAGTCAGAAATGGTCCTAAATCCCCTTGGAAATGGTCCTAAATCCCTGCAGGGTCAGGGAAATCCTAAATCCCTGGGGATCTCATCAAAGAGGGCTGTGCGCTCCTTGGGGTTCTTCATGGCAATGGAATCCACTGCTCCCTGAAAAAATGATCCTAAATCAAGTTAGAAATGTTCCTAAATCCCTGAGAATGACCCCTAAATCCTGTCAGAGAGGTTCCTAAATCCCTGCAGGGTCAGGGGTTCCTAAATCCCTGCAGGGTCAGGGAAATCCTAAATCCCTGGGGATCTCCTCAAACAGGGCCGTGCGCTCCTTGGGGTTCTTCATGGCAATGGATTCCACTGCTCCCTGCAAAAACAGGGTCAGAAATGGTCCTAAATTCCTTTAGAAATGGTCCTAAATCCCCTTGGAAATGGTCCTAAATCCCTGCAGGGTCAGGGAAATCCTAAATCCCTGGGGATCTCCTCAAACAGGGCCGTGAGATCCTTGGGGTTCTTCATGGTGAACAACTCCACTGTCCCTGCAGAAATGG